ACACAGACGATCGGGAGAGATTCGGGTGATTGTCAATTGCTGCTATGATCGCTTTGGTTGGTTGTCTTTTTCACTGTACGGCCGCAGACACATTCTATAGGCTTTCCCCCCGTAGGCGATGTTTTGTTTTGTTTTTCGGCGTTTCACGGATATTTTCGGCGATTTTTTTTTTAATGCCGAAAACGACTTTCTCGGCGACTTTCGGCGACTTCCACATGTTTCGGCGAGTCATAGTTGAGTTTCGGCGATTGTTGACGATTTTCGGCGACGTACTTCCAGTAACACAAACGAGCGGGTCGCGACGCGGTTGGACTGCTGCGGAGGCCACCTGTCACCTGTCCGCGAAAAGCGAAATGATGTGTCCTTCGTCCTTCTCTTATTTTTCTACAAACTACATCGTGCATGTTACGCTGGTGTGTACATGCAATATTCCGAGCCCTCAGTTATCAAACAAATCAACAACGAAATGGAATACTATGATGCTTCGATACTTCGACGTTACGCATGGCATGCACGCTCACGTCCGGGCAAAAACAAACAAATAAATCTGGACAGGTACTGACCCACCAACTACGAACAAGTAAGACACCTACACGAAAGTGAAACACAGGCCATCAGTCGCTTTGTTCATCGCTGCCATCGCTCTGGTCGCTACCGCCGCCGCTGTTGGCATCTTCGGCGCTACCCGTCTTCTCTGCTGATCTGCTACTCTGGGCCCGACCCCTGTTGTACTTGAGCAGTGCGGAAGCGCAAATACGGTCGCTGTACACGTGCTCCTGCCGTTCATTAAAGCAACACCTCAGGATGGAAAACACTCGTTCCATGAATGAAGAGGATGGTTGCAAAAGAGCAACATCCAACACCAAGGCGTGCCACGTAGGCAGCCTTTTCTTGTTGTCCTTCCAGAACGCCATGTATGTGGCCGTACTCGATGTCTGTGTCACTGGCCGCCATGTAGTAGTCTTCCTTCTCCTTCAAAAGCCCCTTGACCATCTTGCTCTTGACGAACGGGAACACCTTGAGGCTGCGAATGGTGTCATCGGAGTACTTCTTGCTTTTCATGAACGCGAAGTCCGTCAGCTTCGCGGCCTTGAACATCTCCAAGGTCTTGGCCTCCCTCGCTTGGGAGTGGCGTGCAGAGGCACTACCTTTAGAAGAAGATGAACCAGCTGCAGAAATGGTGCCACCAGCGCTACGTTGGAGTGCAGAGGCACTGGTGCTGCTAGAAGAAGCTGAGCCAGCTGTAGAGACCCGTGTTGGATCCCGGGCACCGGCAGCAGGTGGTGTGGCACTGCCGCTGCCGCTGCCGCCGCCGCCGCCGCTGTCGGCACCAGAACCAGCGGCGGCAGTTCTCGTTCGACCGACAAATTGCACCTCCTCCTTCTTCTCCGAATCCTCGTCGCCACTGCTGTTGTCCCATCTACTACCACCAGAGTAGGCTTCCATACCGGTAAGAGGCGACGGGATCGCACCGCCGTTCACCTGTGTGTGTGTAGCCGTGTGGATGTGCTGACTCTTCCGGGGGGTCGCAAGCAAGGGCACCGTGAAATTAATCGGCGAGAATCGGCGACCTCAAGCCATGATTCGGCGGAGCCCCCTCCAAAACGGCGCTACTTTTTGGTTTTCGGCGACAGTTTTTTTTTTCGGCGACGTATTTCGGAATTCGGCGTTTTCGGCGGTCGCCTACGGGGGAAAAGCCTAGCTGTACACCTCTTGTTCTGCTCCACCGCCCCCTCTTTGGTGTGTTTGTTCGAAGTGTTGCAGCATTGTGTGGCTTCGCGTGTTCAACGAAGCCATCCTTCCCACACACGAGGTTAAAAGCTTTGAGAACGGGGTATTTTATTGGCGAAAGATCGGACCGGGTAAAATATTATTCAATATTATGGACCCTGGCTACTGTCGGAGACAGAGGCCGGTGCCTTGGCAGTATTATCCCACTGCCAGGGGAAGGCTATTTCCTCTCGTGATATGTAAACGAGGAGAAGAGGGTAGAAAGAGAAAGTGGCCAGAGAGAGTAGAGGGAGAGGAGAGTCGAAGACTCTCCGCTTCTCCTTTCGGCAAGTGGCCATGGACTTCGGAAGAGACAAATCTCCGACGGTGCATTTCTTGTCACCCTCCCAGTGACAAGATACCCCGATGGAGCTATATCTTCCCACACTTTTTGTGTGCACTCATGGTTGGTTATACTCCCGACAGATGTCCTCCACATCACCCCCCCCTCTATGCGCCACAAGTCCATCTGGTGCTAAAGATGTGCTTTTGGCGGTCAGAGACATGAGTGGCTCGCATGTATCGGAGTTAGCCTACCTGGTACAACATCATCAACTCGGCCTGATCATCGTACAACGCGTGTTAAAAAAACACGGAGTCCTCAGACGGAGTAGTGATAGATGTGGTCCATACTAGTAGTCTAGAAAAAAAACAATTTGAGTACTGGGCTATCATGATGACAGCTAGTGTACTATAGTATTTCGCATGATCATGCTCGTGTAGCATGCTATGCTGTGGGGTTGATGAGGGATAAACTTGTAATGAGGTGAGCCTCTGCCAAGTTTGTCTATTCATCATAATTACAATCTTGATGAGCGATACAAGACTTGTAATAAGGTGACCCTCCGGCAAGTCTGTCTATCCATCAAACAATAAGATTTCGGTGAGGAATAAACTTGTAATGAGGTGACCCTCTGGCAAGTTTATCTTTCGTCGTCGTTTCCTGGTTTTGTTCAATGGCTCAGAGCCACTTTGCGTAACCAATTTCCGACTTGAATGTTCTTGAGAAGTAGTTACCTGTTTTCGTTTTCGTTTCCCTGTTTTACTGGGTGATTT